CATTTTACATTTTTCACTTAACTTTTTTATAAATCAATAATTTGACTGTAATAACACGTTTATATCAAACTGTCTCTTTTGTTAATAGTTAATAATTTGGTCAACAATTAAAACGATTTTTACTTTGAACAGTGTTAAAGTTGTTGTAGTAGCAAAGTAGTTATTATTTGAAAAATATACTTCTTCCGTAAAAATTGAATGCGAAAGTGTCTTCAAAGTGAATTGACCAGAATTGTAAAACCAACGATGCTGTTTGGTTGGACGAGATAAACACCAGTTTTTTTTTTAAAGTTTAAGCAGAAATTTGCAAATATTTTTACTTCTATGATATTTTAATAGAGCAGTTTTAAAATGTTGAAAGCTAAGCTTTATCGCTTTTTCAGTTTCTGAATCGGAAACGAACAGTTGTGAGATCAATGACAATAAAAAATTAACTGTTGAAAGTGGCAGAAAGTCTGGTTGTTCACCCGAAAGCACAGTAACTTTAGACGACATTATAGAAATTGTGAAGCAGAAGTTTAGCACTGAAAATGATGACGGACCAAAAGAAATTAAGGATGTTGTATTTTGGACAGTGGATGAAAAGACGGCAAATGATACTGACGAAATGAAGGACGTTAAAAATCCAGAAGAAATTCCAATGAGCAATTTTGAGAATGAATTGTTAGATTCAGATGACGATAGTTTTGTTGTTGGTGAACCGCCTAGCATTATCACGGAGGAAGACGATATTGATTTGTTGATTAGGTTTTTCCTTTTCTTATGTTTTACTTAGTAATCGTTATGTAATTCACGTAATTCAAAGTAAAGAAAATAAATCGCTAACGAGTATGAAAATGTCTTGTTTGAGCTTTTCTGTAAACCTTGTATATGTTTAAATTCATTCAAAGGTTTAAGAAAAACATTAAACCCAAAAAAATTGGTTTTAGCGCAGCCAAATCTTCGGGCAATGTCCCTTACAACGTGGGTATGCGTCAGTCAGATAGGTTAGATGCGACGAGTCTGGGTAAGTCTGCTTTTTTGACTTGATTATTTTTTCTTTGCAATTTTATGTGAAACATATATCACTGACAGATGAGAAGGTTTTATCAACTATTGTTGTCTTTTTTTCCTGAGGTTTAGGCAACTTAGAAAACATATGAGTTGAATATGGCATTAAACCAAAGGTTGAAGTTAAGATTGTAAAGTTTCATCAAATGCTAAAGTGCTTCGACGCAAATTATTAAATATCACAATTGTATACTTACAGAGATGGATCATAATCGTTGTGAGAAACAGATGAATTTTCAAGATGTTGGTCATCGTAATAACTTGAAGACATAGCTGGTGCATTTCTTTTTTGCTCAACGGTATCTGTGAATAGTGTTTAAAACAGTAACTAAACAGTTTCTGCAATTCTTTATATTAGACGAATAAATTATAAACTTCAATATTGACTTGTTATTGAAATCTGTTAATTGCCGTAACCGGTACTAGGATCATCAAACGTTTTACACCTTAAAATTGAATATATTGCTTTTTTTGGTAGAACAAAAAGATTTTTCTTCAGCGTACAACAATTATTTTTTGTTTGAAACTGATACTTTGCTTAATAATAAACTGTTTTTTTTTCCGAAATGCATATTCTGTTTACTTTTGACAGAGATTAGTGAAACTATAAATTTTTGTAAAATAAATAATATTAAAAAAAGCTTTCAAAGTGTTGTTGACTTAGTTTGCCGTACGTCTTAACAAGCACTTTTTTCAAAGATTTAGTCACAAAGCGTTTTTTTTTTTTTTTGCTTATTCAATGTTAATAATTACTCTTTGTAAAAATGTTTGCTGCAGCGGTAGCAGTGTTAATTGTTTATTTCAGGGCACCTACTAATTAATCAAACCACTGGCAAGTATTTTTACGCTTTGTTGAATTCTTGAGATGGCTTTTGCATTTTTAGCATCAGTTTTTTCAAAACAGCATTAAAATCAAAGCATATTGATTTGTTGTTAAAGTTAATTTTTTATTATTAACATCACCTGTGAAAAACCTGTTGACTATTTGGCGTTATAACTGTTATACAGCTTTGAATTTGAAATTATAGTAATAGTTTTTTTTTTTTTGCATTTTTGGTTGACCTGCTTCGTTGCATTTTTATTGGTGTAAATTCTTAAAGTTTTAAACATATGATATTTTTCAAATTTTCTCCCTTTGACTCTTAAGCTTTCAGGAAGAATGTTACCGTAAAAGTTTTTATGAGTAGGACAAACAAATACACTTACAGTATGTTTTGTTAATAATGATGTAAAAAGTCATTTTTTGAGAAAAATTTCAAGTTAAATTGTAAATTTTTTTGTTGGCAAGGTAAAATATTAATGTTTTTTAATGCTTGGATAAGTCGTACATGCTTCACATTGAAAAAGTATGTAACCATTGTAAAGCTTTTATGTAAATACGGAAATTAAAAAAACTAAGAGGAATGTTGTAAAAAATTTTGTACCGTGATAAAGCTCTATCAAAGCGGAATTGTCGCATTAATCAGTATATATTAGCTATATTACAGTTTTTCTTTAACTCTAAAACTGCAAATGATACAGAAGCAAGAACTCAGCTGTAGCTATATGGTTTAACAATCTAAAATCTCTTTAAATCATTTTATAAATCCACTAATTTTTTTTCTCATTATTTATTAGAAGGTAAATACTTAGCATTGCTAAAGTAAAAAGTACTTTCTTCCAGGAATAAACTGAAATCTCGTTTCTATTTATAGTCAAAACTTAGTGAAAAAACTTTGGGGAGCATATTAATCAGAAGTTATAAGACAAATTAAGCGGAGACGGTTTGCATGTGGCTGCCAGAAGACTTATGCTCTAGATTTCTTATGGAATTTTACAGGGAAAATTTTATATACTTAAATGACTCAACATCTCTTACATCTGAAAATAAGAATCAAAGTGCATTTAATTGATATGGCTTAAAAATATATGTTGTAGAACACCGGGTGAGCTGAATTTGCGTATTTCTGCTATTAAAAAAAAGCTGGAAACTGTTAGTCATTCTTAGTGTATGCTACTTTTAGCAAGCTTCACTCTTCAATAAATAGTTTCCCACAAAAAGAATTTTAGCTTTTCAACAGCGTTACAATGTTTTAAAAAGTATCCGCTACTACTCTTGCAACACTCTATATTACTAGAATCGTGATTACTTTTCGCCCAGAAGTGGTGCTTTATCGGCCTGCAAAAGTGCACAAATTAGAAAATCAAAATTTAAACGTACACTCAAGCATACTAAGCCTTTACGTGATTGAAGTACCCAACTGATCAAAACCATCTACTTACCACTCCACGACCAATAAACCAAAAAAATTTTTTGCCTACATTTTGAAAGTAAATGGAGCAAACCGTTTGAATAATGACGAATTTTGTTTTCAGAAAAAATGTAAAACGTTGAAAATGTCATTTTTTGGCTGGTAATGGGAATCGTTTTTCAGCACAAGCTCGTTCGAACTTAAAATGTTAGTCAGAATTGCACTCTCAGTAAAAAATTGTAAAAAGTGCGCACCGGTTTTAATCAAGCTTACAGGCTTTTACCTTTATATATTAGCAAAAAGAAACATAAATATAACTAAGCATTTTTAGAATTTGATTTTCCCCAAAGAGAGATTTTTTTAATGCATTATTTTGTAGAACATAAAAAACTTTGTGCTTTCAAGTGTTAATATTATCAAAACATCAAGTATCGCGCTAAAATCCAAAACACTCGGCAAATTGTCGGTTGTGTCATACTGCGCCAGTATACAACAGCACAAAAACCATAAGTTATTCTTCTTTACCATGTTGTAATTTCTGAATGCAGCTTAAAGATGAAGTTGATTTAGAATCCTTTTACAAAGTTCCTAAATATTTACTGAATTAGGCGTCATTACAGTCAATATACAAAGTGGTCTTATAAATTCAATTTTTTTTCAAGACTTTTAAAAGAGGTATCACATCGAAAAATGCTCAAATACGCGACAAACAAGTTAATCTTCTCTTCTAGGTTTCTTCTCTGAAAATGCGGAAAAGTACACATCTTCAGTAAATTTTTAATAAAAAAACGTAATCTAAAAGGCTGAAAGAAAACCTTAACAGAACGGTCTTTTTACCAATTTACCCATTTAGAAAGATTTTAGTTATTTTTTTTCTTTTTGGTTGCTTTGTTTATAAAACGCTTAGTTGTTCTTCTTCAGGACTAGCGCAAGCTACTTTTTTTCGTAACCTACAGCAGTAGTAAGACTAAAGTTACGCAAAATAGTGCTGTAATAAACGCCAAATTTTTCTGACCATTACCTTCATTACTAGTCGGAAAAAAAATAACAAAATATTAATGACTGTGCGATTTTGCGAGAAGACTGATTTGTAGCCAACTTGTAGCACTTGGACAAATAGACAGAGGATCAGCTGTTAGCAGTGGTTGGTGCACTGATAGTAGTAATTTAATTGGATCAAAAGAATCAGTGATTATACTCCGTCTCTAGACTTGACATTCAGATTTCAGGCTTGGGCAGCTAAGCATTTATATTACGGTGCTTACGTAGCTACGCAAAACATTGGAACCAAGCTTCAGCAAAAGCAGTAGTAAATGATAGAATTATATATATATATATATATATAT